GACTAGTCGAAGGTTACTCAAGTAGTGAGTAACTGAGCCAGAATTTGAGATCTAGGATTTCAAACTCAAAGTTCAACTCCATCACTGTTTCTGATTTCTGATGCGTGTACATTCCCACTCTGGAGTCCTCCAAGATCTTCTCATGCCACATAGCTTTGTTTATTTCAGACATTTTGGACCCCATATTCTAAGAAAGTCATTGAAGCAAATGAGAAAAAAAAAAAAGTTTCCTCCCTGTGATTATCTTACTATGTAATCTCTCAATATACCACTTTTTTTTTCCTGAATGTCTTTTGATTCAATCTTGCTCAAAATATGGTCTCTGAATTAAAAGCAGCTACAAAGATGGGTGGTTGCTATAAGAGGCTTTGACACAGCCACAGGAAGCAATGGAAACACAGGGAGTGACAGCCAACAAAGTTAAGCATGTGAAATAGAAAGTTTGTATCTGTTCCCAATACAGCTGAGAATTCAGACACTGAAGCCTCTACCTGCACATGGGGCCACATTTCTGCTTGAGATAGAAGAGGTGACATTTTCTTCCATATAATTTAAGAGAGTTTTTCTCTAAAACATAAAAATAAAAATAACATGTAGACCAATGTGCCTCCTTTTAACTACATATTACATAGCCAAATTATTGAAATAGTGTTTGAACTTGTTAGAGTATCCATGGTTTTAGAAGTACAGTTAGTTCAAAACATCATAAAGGTATCATATTGCTTTTCTATTGCTGCTTTTAAAAATTTTCAGAAATTAGCCGGGCGCGGTGGCTCACGCTTTTAATCCCAGCACTTTGGGAGGCCGAGGCAGGTGGATCACGAGGTCAAGAGACCGAGACCATCCTGGTCAACATGGTGAAACCCCGTCTCTACTAAAAATACAAAAAATTAGCTGGGCATGGTGGCGTGTGCCTGTAATCCCAGCTACTCAGGAGGCTGAGGCAGGAGAATTGCCTGAACCCAGGAGGCGGAGGTTGCGGTGAGCCGAGATCGCGCCATTGCACTCCAGCCTGGGTAACAAGAGCGAAACTCCGTCTCCAAAAAAAAAAAAAAAAAAATTTTTCAGAAATTTAGTGGCTTAAAACAATAAATGTATCATCTCATGGTTTTGTGGGTCAGAAGTCTGACATGGATCTCACTGATATAAAATCAAGGTGTGGCCAGGGCTGCATTTCTTTCTGGAGGTTTCACAGGAGAAACGGTCTCATTGCCATTTCCAGGTTCCAGAGGCTGCTTATATGGCTTGCCTCATAACCACCTATCTCCATCTACAAAGCTAGTGATGGAGGTTTGAGTTCTTTTTCTCACATCACATCATCTGACTTCTGACCTCTCTTCTGCACCCCTCCTTCACTTTCAATAAACCTTGTGATTACATCAGGTCACCTAGATAATCCAGCATAATCTTTCTATATTAATATCGGCTGGCTAGTAAACTTTATTCCATCTTGAACCTTGATTTTTCTTTGTCATATAATGGCACATATACTACAAGTTTCAGGAATTAAGATATGGACATCTTTGAGGGAGTTCATTATTCAGTCTACCACAGGCATTAATTAAACTAAAAACTGATCATGCTGGCCATCAAATGACACATGAAATTCTTCTAGGACTAAATTCTTTCTTATTTCCTTCTCCTTGTTTCCTTCTTTCTTTCTTTATTAAATAAAAAAGAAAAGGGACAAGACTATTTGTTCCTCCTCTGAGAAATGTGAGTAATTCAGTGTGATTGAGCTGAGACAACTGCTGAAGATTATTGAAGAACACGAAACCAGATCAGAACGGACCTGGAAACCCTACAAAATTCACTCTTCGGCATATGTTTATTGCAGTGCTCATCAGTGCTATTCAGCAAGTTTTCCAATTTTGCTCCTAAGTATAGGGCAGGATTGTACTTGCTCTTCTCCTTGATATAAGAAACAGTGACATGATATGATTTGGCCAATGCAAAGCACGCAGAAGGGATATGTGTCTCTTCCAATGTAAGTGTTAAAGATCTCATGTGTGACTTGCTTCATTTCTCTTACTTTCTGCCATGGTGACTAACAGATTTCAGATCATGGCTGTTCCAACAGCCTGAGTTTCAGAATGAGATTGACTTGGAGCAGAGTCCCAAGCCAATCCATGATGGACATGTAGCATGAGTAAGAAATACAAATAAACTTTTGTGGTCTAATCCCCTGGGATTTCGGAATTGTGTTATATTTCGGTATAACCTAGACCATCCTGCCTGACCCTGCTGCCCTTAGGGTTGAAATGGTAGGTGATCAGATGGGCTTTGCACTGGCTTGTGAAGATTTCCAAAGGATCTCCACAGAACTCTATTTTTGCTCTAGAATTCCAAAGACCCTCATCACTACCTAACAACATATTCCTGGATGTATTGATATGAAGATGAGGTTGGAAAAAGGAAGAAATGAGTTTCACCCTGATCAGTTGTGCAAGTAGTCAGAAAGTTTGTCCTGTGGACCAACTCCAGATATAACAATAAATACCATGGTCTGTAGGCTTCTCCTCCTCAGGACAAGGCGTGTGAACTGGGAATCACACTTATCCTGTCATCAATTCACACATTGCCCATTTCACAGTCCGCAAGTTTATGCTATTTATGGATGGAATGGTGTATCATATACACTTTTAACTTTTGTAACTGCAATGCTACATGATCATTTTCCTTTTTTTAATTCTTTCGTTTCTCTGTCATCCTCATATGATTAAATATATAGTCAACTTATATGTAACTTGTACATTTATTATATGTTATACTTTCTTATATATAGTATATACACACATAACTTTATAAGATTTTTTTACAAAATCCAACACACCATAATTTATAAGCCTCTTAAGAGATTTTAAAAAGTTATTTTGACTCCAAAATTTTCAAGATAAACAATGACGTTAGATCCTAAACCTCACGTTAGATGCATTTGTGCTGCACAGGGGTTGACTAAACACTGATTGTGGTAGCATGTCAATAGGAGTAAGAATAAGATTCAAGAGTCAATTGTCAGGCAACATTTATTGAGCAGAAATTCTTTTCTGACACCTTCGAGACTCTCAATAGAGTAAGAAAGACCCAGTTCCTGCCTTCCTTACATTAACAGTGTGTAGGTCCAAGTGCACAGGGGGTACAGCTGGGGCCACAAATCAAAGGATGTAAGGAGACATGCTAGGAAGTAGATTCCCAGGACACCAGGAAGTTCATACTCCTTCCACTCTGAAATTAGCTTTTCATTTCTTGAGTGATCTCTCTCAAACTAACCAAACTGATCAGTCCTCTTATTTAATTCTTAGGAGCATTTGGCATAATTGACAGATGACCACCTAACTTAAAGTTATTTCTTCTTATAAAGAGACTCACCTATGCAATATAGGCACACTTATAAAAAGGCAAACGTGCCTTTTTAAATAGCAAGTGCTATTCTCTGTGCTGGGAAAATGGGAACCCATTGGATATGGGATATTAGAATTACAAAGGACTTGAATGCAGGTCATCTTACCCAGACCTCTTCCTTTGCAGATGAAGAAACCAAAGTCAAGAAAAAAAATGAATTACTCAAAGCACACAACTATTTAGAGATAAAGGCAAGAATAAAATGATACGCAGCTGATTGTACTTAACAGTGCATTGGGTTTATTTAAAATAATAATAATAATAAATCTCCAAAACAAAATTGGAAGCACTTAAAATTTTCTGGTACAGCAAAACACATCTATCATCCACATCTAAATATCTTATTTCCTTTTCCTGAAGAAACAATAATATCTATATAATTGCCCATGTCTTTATTTCACTTCACCTGCCGGAATTCCTAGAAACAAATTCAAAGCTCAATTATAACAACAGTGAAGTTTATGACCTGAATATCTGTGTTGTTCTTGACCATGATATTGACCTGTTATTATAATTTCTATTATTTTCAGCACTGAATTCTAACTTATGTTTTCCACTTTATTGTATATATTTTTTTCTGTTAGCTATCACAAATTCCTAGAGAAACAAGATGGAAAGCAGATATACCCCAGTGATATTGTAGGCTTGGTTCCAGACCAATACAATAAAGTAAATATCATAATGAAGTGAGGCACAATTTTTTTTTTGGTTTTCCAGGGTATACAAAAGTTATGTGTACACTATAGTGTAGTATATGAAGTGTGCAATAGCATTGTATGTCCAATTACAATGTACATATCTTAATGGTAATAATCATCTGAACCTTCAGTGAGTTCTGATCTTTTTGCTTGTAGCAGGTCTTGCCTTGATGTTGATGGCTGCTAACTAGTCAGGGTGGTTGTTGCTGAAGATTGGGGTGGCTGTGCAAATTTCTTAAAATAAGAAAACAAAAATGCTTGCCCCATAGATTGACTCTGCTTTTCATGAAAGACTCCTCTACAGCATACTTTGCTGTTTGATAGCATTTTACCCATGCTAGAACTTTCAAAATTAGAATCAGGCGTCAAAAGCTCTGTTATTGGTTTATCAGTTAAGTTTATGCACTTAGAATACTTTATCAACTAAGTATTTTAAACTCTTTGTGGTCATTTCGACAATGTTCTTAGCATCTTCATCAGAAGTAGCTTCCATCTCAAAAAAAAAATTATTTGTTCATCCATAAGAAGCAGTTTCTCAATCGTTCAAGTTTTATCATGAGATTGCAGCAATTTAGTCACATCTTCAGCATCTTTCAGACTCCATTTATAATTCTAGTTTTCTTACTATTTCTACTACATTTTCAATTACTTTCACCACTGGAGTCTTGAACCCCTCAATATCATCCATAAAAGTCAAAATCGACTCCTTCCAGACTCTCATTAATGTTGATAGTTCAACCTCCTGATGAATCATAAATGTTCATAGCACCTAGAATGGTGAATAGCATCTAGAATGGTGAATTCTTTCTAGAAGACTTTTAATTTACTTTGCCCGTGTCCATCAGAGGAATCACTATGTATAGCAACTGTACCCTTATAAAATGTTTTTTAAAATTTTTTAAAATATGGAAATGCTTCAAGAATTTTCATGTCATCCTTGTGCTGGGGCCATGCTAATCTTCTCTGTATCATTCTGATTTAAGTAAACGTGCTGTCAAAGCCAGCACAAAACGTACTTTTTAAATCATAAGACTTGAAAATAAAATTACTCCTTGATCCACGGGCTGCAGAAGTAAAAATGGCCAAACCACTGGTCTTGTTCAAGCTTAAACTAAGATAAAGCTTTCCAATCAGTAATTAAGGGGAAGGATCCACTTCATTTGGCCAATTAGAATAATTCAAATGTAAGAGACATTTCCACAAAATATTACTTATATCAGAATTGATACCTGAAATTTAACTCTTAATAAATTCTCTAATTTAGCTCTTTTGGGTCTGAAATGCAGATATAAAAAGGCAGGAAGCATCTGAAGAGTTTCTCATTCTGGAGATAAACTTGTTTCTCCAACCTTATTTGTTTGGAAGGGAAGTACAGAGAAGCAACAAACCTCAGCCTCTGAAGGGGCTCAGCTCCTGATTCTACACAGCTCAAGGGATATTTCTTAGCAAATAATATGAATAGATTACAACTAACATCTATCAAAAATAAAAACAAAGCAAATTCCTGGAAATTGGTAAATACCTTCTATTCTCTATTGAGTCCTTCCTCTGGGTCATGATTTTTTTGTTAATAAATTGTACTTCTGAAGGAATATGAACTTGAATCATGCTCTGAATTAATAACACTATAGATAGAAAGCCTAGCAATGTTTCTGTATCTAGTACTGGCAACCCTATAACCAAGGCATTTCAACTGATTACCACATACTGAACAGGACTTTCATGTCCAAGGTGGCAAAACAAATAAACATTTCAATCAAGGGCAATTTTAAGAGTGGATTAGATGTGATGTGGATTTGTACTTCTAAGCAAACATCTATTTTATTTTATTTTATTTTAAGTTCCATGGTACACGTGCAGTACGTGCAGGTTTGTTACCTAGGTAAACATGTGCCATGGTGATTTGCTGCACCTATCAGCCCACCACCTAGGTATTAAGCCCAGCATGCATTAGCTATCTTTCCTGATGCTCTCCCTCCCCGATGCCCCTGACATTGTATATTGTTCCCCTCCTGTGTCCATGTGTTCTCATAGTTCAGCTCCCACTTATAAGCAAGAACATACAGTGTTTGGTTCTCTGATCCCCGAGAAAATGTCTTATGAAGGCTTTTTCCTCACTGATTGCTGAAACTCATGTAACAAATGAAAATTCAGCCACTAACATTCTGAGTAAAATATTGTTTCTAGATTGGGCCAACTCAGTAGCCTCCCAATTACCGCTACTCTGGTCACCTTAAAGGTGTCACATGCGCTCACTCCTTCATCCTATCCAAGCTTTTCCTGACTTGCACATTCTCTCACTGTCTACACAGCAGCTAGATTGATCTACTTTTAGTCATTCCTACCTATGGGGTCTCTTCACCTAGCTAATTACCAGTCATGGTTTATAAGCCAGATTCCCATTGAAGCTTTCCCTGGACTTACTTTGCTAAGACAAGTCCCTGCTAAGTATCAGTGCCTCACAGTTCATGACAGTTATACATTTGTACTTGTTTATGTGGTTATTTGCTAAACACCTGTCTTATCCACTCACTGTGAGCTTGCTGAAAGCAAGATTCATCTAAGTTTTGTCACTCACCCTTGTATCTACAGTATCTCATTGCATTTGACACAATGTCAGCTCTGACAAATATTCATTAGACAAATAAATAAAACATAAAGTTTATCTGGGCCAAGTTTACCTGTGAGCACAGAGAACTTAGATGCTAATATCTTATTTGGAAGGCCAGGAAAGTCAGTATAACGAAAGGGACACTGAGTAGAGCACTGAAAATCAGCTTCTATTAACTCACAAATATGCAGAAGTAAAAGTACACCTAAAAGCAGTCATTGTCCCATCAAGTATCTTTAATTGGTGATATGGTTGAGCTGTGTCTCCACCCAAATCTCATCTTGAATTGTAGTTCCCATGATTCCCTCATGTCATGGGAGGGACCTGGTGGGAGGTAATTGAATCATGGGGGCAGTTAACCCCATGCTGCTGATCTCGTGATAGTGAGTGAGTTCTCACAAGATCTGTTGGTTTTTTAAGAGGCTTTTCCTTCTTAGCTCAGCACTTTTCCTTCCTGCCATCATGTGAAGAAGGACAGGTTTGTTTCCCCTTCTGCCATGACTATAAGTTTTCTGAGACCTTCTTCAGCCATTTGGAATTGTGAGTCAATTAAACCTCCTTCCTTCATAAATTACCCAATCTCAGGCAGTTCTTTACAGCAGTGTGAGAACAGACTAATACAGTTGGTATATAAAAGTTTACCCCTAACCAAATAAATATATTAAAGTATTTCATTCAGAAGGCACTCATAGGTTTAGCTAAAGAACATTTGAATTTCATAATCATGGGGAAGATGGACATGATTGGCACAATATTCCACCTCTCCTGCTTCCATGCCCACGGATTCCACTAACAGCATCAAATCTCAGGTTCATTAAAATCACCGAGTTAAGCTGAACTTCCTGCACTCTAACCTGTATTTTGGCTGGTTTCTGTCTCTTCAAAGTGATGGAGGTTTTTCCGTTAAAGACCTTGTTTGGCAGCTGAGGGTAGGGAATGTCAGGTTCCCTTGACTTCTTTTCCAAATGAACAAGAAATCTCCTGGCTCCAGGCTCCAGACCAGATTCCTAGTAGCAGTCAACAAATCACAGATTGGTCTGGAGGGAGACTGCAAAGACACCCTTACATGAAAATGAGTTCCACAGACATAGTGATGACGACACAGAGGCAAAATACATAGTTCCCTGTGGTGAGAAACTATGGGAGAGAGCAAGGAAAGGGCTTCATGACTGAAGCCCCCGGTAGTCTGTAGAACAAGATGGCCTTAATATGTCCCTCAGCTTGACCAAACTTCACACATGCTTCTTCCTGACTTCAGGCCCAGACCTCCCTTTTCTTAAATCAGTTTCTCTAGAAAATTTGTAAGTGTAAGTCATTTCTTTAACTTTTTGTGACACAAATCTTTTTTTTCTTTTCTTTTTTTTCTTTTTTTGTTTGAGACGGAGTCTCACTCTGTCTCCCAGGCTGGAGTGCAGTGGCACGATCTCAGCTCAATGCAATCTCTGACTCCCTGGTTCAAGCGATTCTCCTGCCTCAGCCTCCCAAGTAACTGGGATTACAGGCATGTGCCACCACGCCCAGCTAATTTTTTGTATTTTTAGTAGAGACAGGGTTTTACCACATTGGTGAGGAAAGTCTTGATATCCTCACTTCGTGATCCACCTGCCTCAGCCTCCCAAAGTGCTGAGATTACAGGCGGAGTGAGCCACCTTGCCTGGCCCATAAATCCTGTTAAGAGCTTCTTTTCAATTTTACAATCCAGGAATGTCTTTTTTTAAGGACCCGGGAGCCACCTCCTTGAAATGCAAACATTTGGGAGATAGCACCCAATCCCCCAGTTTTCGTGGGAGATTAGGAGCCTAACTTTTGTGGGTGCCTTGCTTCCAGTTATAGTTTTACAAGCCCTTCCACTCATGAAGGTGTGAGAAAATTTACTTTTCCTTTAGATAAGGCCAATTATCAAATACAGATGGCCTATGGTTTTCATTCTCACCCCCAAACCTGCTCTTAAAAACTCCCCTGCTCTTTGTTTAAGCAGGAATGAATTCCATTTCCCATTTAAGAAATGGAGTTCTCCTCCATTGCAATAGCCTGGAATAAAATATTTCTTATCCATTTAAATTTGGTGCAATTTTTGCTTTCACACCATATTTAGGAACCTGGACTGTGTCTGAGTTAGTAGAGGCAGGGAGGGACAGTAGGGGAGAGCTCTGACTGGGGAAAGGATGGATCCTGCAGTCTAGACTGGAATCCTGACTCCATTACCCTTTGGTAAATCACTTCATCCCTCAGTCTTGGTTTCTTCATCTCTGCCACATAAAGAGGGACTGAATTTATTCAGTGATAGTAAGAACAGAAAGAAGGAGACAGAATCTAAGACATATTTAGAGAGCAAAATTGGAAGTATTTGGTAATTGATTGGGGTGAGGAAAAAGAGATTTAAGGGAAAATTCAATTTTTCTTTTAGTTTAGATAATTTGGGCTAATGGTAATGCCAAAAACTGAGCAGCAAAGTCCTAAGGAAACACAGAGTGTACTGAAATAAGTTTTACTTGAGATAGATGCGAAACATATAGATGTGAACATCCAACAGGCCATTGGGTATTCAAATCTGAAGCTCAGGGGAAAGATCTGCCATGAGAATATAAATCTAGACTGAAAATCTTAGAGGGATGAGGTCACTTGGGTGAACTGGTTAACAATAGCTCCCCTTTTTTCATTCCCAATTCTATTCTTAAATTGTGAATCTTTTGATATTTTTCTTATTTTCCTAGTGGTCCCCATGTTCACTCCATAGAATTAGCCAGAGAATTCAGTGTCTCAGACTTTGACCTTTCATACTCTCAAGGACACAACTTTAACTTGTCTCTGGTTCTTCCCACTCCTGTCTACTTTAACCACATCCAGACTGGAGCTGGGTGTAATTGCTCTCTTGGCACTACCGTAAGATATGAAATCACATAGATTATGCTAAAAAAAGAAATCAGTAAATTACAATCATAATTATTTTATATATGTGTATTTTATTTTCACACAGTCTCTTTGGTCTAAAAAAGAGCAAAGTGGGTAAAGAATGCAGATAGTGGAAAGTTTGGGCAATAAATTGGAGTTGTTTGAATGGATGGTCGACTGAACGAGTGCCGATTAATTGCAGTGGATAACGGCTCAATTCTCCCTGCTGCCTTGCTTGAGTGCACAGTCATGGCAGAAATGAATCTGTGTGTTGTCCATTCTGCTGCATACTTCTTGACCTTTTCCAAGTGTGTCAGTCATAGTGAGCTTCATTAAGCTTGACATGCTGTAGTGCCCCTGGCATTTCCACATTGGCCTCATGCATTCAGCAGCAGGCTAATAACCACGGCTTAATAAAAAGTAAAACTACCTAAAATTCGGTGTTTTGTTTTCTTGGTGACATTTTTTTTCTTTTAAAAATCAAAATTATCCAACTTAAAAAAA